AAAAGGTAAAATGATTTATTGATTATCTTCTATATAATATAATTCTGATAGGAAATATAACAAGAAATTTTGAGAAATAATAAACAGAGACAAGCTTCAAATATGGCCTGTCATGGAAAATTTTCATGTACCTATAAGATTATTGCTGTGAAATTTTAATACTAATAAGAAAACATTTCCCTCAGAAGGGCTCAAAGATGTTTTCCTCTTTTGTACCTTGGTACAAACACATTGCTTATAGCTATGCAAATACAATTTAAGGAAAGGGAGTCAGTGATACATGCAGAAATCTCTTGAAGCAAAATTCTAAGCTTGGAGGCAACTATGTGTTGAGTGCTGCATATGAAAATACACATCTGTATTTTGAAAAGAGATCCAGAACTCTGTCTCAATGGAATGAGGGTGGTATATCCAGTTTTTATATAAATTAATGTAAACTCCAGGGCAAATATCTATTATCCACATTTTAAAAAGTGAGCACATGACTAATATTTAGTGAAATTACTATGGAATTGTTCAGCGTGCCTGTAATTATTACTTTGACAGAAATGTGCTAGTTTGTAGAGTATACTGTCAACTTTGGAACAACAGGGGTGGAATAATAAGCTATATTTATGAGAACTAACAGGATAGCTTTGATAAATTATTTATTTGTAAAAGAATATAAAATATGCGCTAAGCTACCATATGAAGTTCTTAATTTCTATATTAAGTTAAGACTAGTTTAAATGCATTATAATTTTAAGAAAACACAGGAAACAAATTGAATGCACAAAAAATGATCTTCTGAGAAACAGAAAATATCTGTACTTCATTCCTAAGAAGATGTCTTCAGAAAAGGGTCTTTATTTTTTTTTCCATGTTACAATATGTAATACATTGTTTCTTGATGTCAGACATGGTTGTAAGTGATTCACATGTATGAACTGATTTAGTCCCCAAAACTGTATCAGGTAGTGTCTTGCTCTCTTCATTTTACAGATGAAGAAACTGCACTGGGGCTATGGATGGTGATCAAGAATGCAGAGTATAGAGATTTTACTGAGCTCTGAACAGTGCAACAATTCTAAGCATGATGAAAGCATGACACAGTGTATCCAATGCTTTAGCACATGTGTTGTGAGACGCAGACCTGCAGACCCCCTCCAATCAACTGTTGTAATGCCTCAAACATTTTAAGATTTCATCTAAAATATTTTTAAACCCTGGCAGATATTACAGTAATTAGATTCATTGGCTGTAGGGTTACATAGCCAGTGAGTTTAAATTAGGAGCTGATGTCTCCCTGGAAAGTGGGAGATGGAGGCATGACACTATATCTCCTCATTGGCCCCTTTTTCAAAAATTAATTTTATTGTTACATTTTAGGTATACAGTATAATGACATTCATCATTGGAGATTGGTACCTTTACATACTCTATCTTGATTCTTATTTTTCCCCATTTTCATGCCCTCTCTTCAACCTCTTCACCCCTGTCCATTTGGCCCTTCTTTTCTAGTGCTCTTTGAGTAGTTTTCCTCTACCATGCCTTTCTACTAGGATGTTTCTCTCCAGAAGCCAGGCAACCATGCAATGAACCCTCAAAAATGGGGTACCATGTTTCTCCTTTTGAATTGCATAAGTCAAGAATTTTGTCCCACAATGGGAAAACTGACCAATGGATCAGTAAGTGTTAAGAGTTGGAATGCTTTCCATTTATATACAGAAAATACAACTCTATAAAAGATCCTTAGAACAAAGTATATAAAACATCATAGGACAAGCGTAAAAGTGGACATTTCCTTGCATACATCCATGATAGATAATATCGCAAAATATAAACCTAAGAATAAAAGGAGGAGCAAGATGCAAAATACAGAAGTAACTCGTGGTTTTTTTTTTTAACTCATGGTTATTTTTACAGAATTTCACATAGCTCTTTACAAGGTTTTCAAAATATGAGCAAAACCAACAGTGAGATTGCATGGGAAAGCAGGAAAGACCCAGAGGTCGCTGCTCCTTCCAGGGAAGTTATAGCCCTGATGGAAAAGTATATTTTTCTACTTTTTATCTCCACAGTAACTCCAAATAAGAAAAGTAAACATTTTTATGAGAAGCTTTTAGGTTATCCTTGCACATCAGGATGGCTGATTCACTGGATGTCTTCATCCCAATTGCCTTAATATCAGTGGAGAAAAACCTCTAGTAATCTTAACTTTCTTCCATTTCCTTCGGCAAACACACTGTGTGTCAAGTGAAAATAAGAAATATTTATCATGTTATGAACTTCTTCAGCATAATTAGTTGCATAGTAGTCTGATATATTACAATAGGTCTTTAGGGATCTGTAAAATTACAATGAGAAAGGAAGTAGAGCTGGAAGCCCTGCCTTTGCTTAAATAGTACACTTGAGCATAAAATCTTCTACCATTACTTCTAACAAACACTCAGTTCAGTCTTGGCTGGTTTTGTGTACCCTGTAATATTTTGACTATATGGAATTATAGTACTATTTTTAAAATTGGCTACTTCAACTAGAATACCATAGAATTTTTGCCTATGTATCGTGTTTGTTTTAATTATACATTAGTACATAACCACAGTATTGTTTAAATAAAATATCAAAGTAATTTAACCTATGAGGCCAAGCAATATCTTGAGTATTGCAGAGATCTATTGCCTCACTGAAATAGCGATGCTCTTACCCACTGACGAAAAAGAATTTCATAGACTTTTAGTCAAAGAGATTAAAAACAACCTATTTTGGAGAAAAATAAAAGACAGAAAGGAGGAGGTGGGGAAATATTTCTTAAAGAAAATAGAGGGAGGAGGGAGGAAGAGGAAGGACAGGAGATGAGAAAAAATACAGAATTATTATATTCATGTACCAACTCCACACAGGGAATGTAAACATTATGCGTTTCAAACATGTACCAGAAAAGAAAAAGGAGAAGAGAGGATTAAGAGCTAGATGGATCTAGGAGGGAAGGGAAGGAAAGGAGATATAGAAAAAGCATTAAGAAGTACTACTTACATGTGCTAATTTCCCATGATGAATCTAGATATTATGTACAACAAAAATGTGCTAATAAAAAACCTAATTATAATAGATTTATAACTTTCCAGGTGTTATTCATTCTAAGGTGGTGCCATAAATATTCTATGTTCATAATTAGGGATGCCTTACTAGATTTGTTGGTGTTTTTCCCCAGAAAAGTAAATAGGATATGAAAAATATAAACTTTGCTGAGGAGGAATATCTATGCTTGACACTTTCTTAATGTAGACTGCTCATGTTCTTACTAATACAATGAATTACATAAATAATCAACTAATATAGATGTTTCAAATTCTATTAGCAGACTCTTGTCTTTAAATAACAATTGAACCAAAATTAATCTATTAACACTTATTTTTTATTTTAATGTAGTACAAGTAGATATTAATAAAGAAAATGTGAAAAATGTATGAAAAATTTTTTCATAACAAAATTAGAGACTAACAATGGTAAATACGCTGTGTATTATGATTTTTAAAAGAATATATTTTCAATTGCTAATCTATCTCTCCTGATATTATATGGGTTTTTTTGCATTAAATATTTCAATGATTAACAAAATATCTTACACTCGATATAATTTTGAACAATTTCTTATTTCACAATATCTCATATATTTTGGTTCTAAGTTATACTTTCAGTTTCTCACACCAGAGAGACAATGCGATATTTACACGCCCTATATATTTCACTTAAGAGTATGGCCACTAGGTGTATCCATTTACCTAGAAATGTCTCAAGTTTATCCTTCTTTGTGGCTGAATAGTACTGCATTATTTTTTAAATTAGATCTTTTTTATCCATTCATTAGTTGATGGGCATTTGGGTTGTTTCCAAGATTTAGGTATTACAAACTGTGCAACTATAAACATAGGTGCATGTATATCTCTGGTATGATTCTTTTAATTCTTTTGGGAAGATACCCAGAAGGGGAATAGCTGGGTCAAATGGGAACTTTAATCCTATTTTTTAAAATATTAATTAATTTCCACAGCAGTTGCACCAGTCTGCACTCCCACCAACAGTGGAGACGATTCCTTTCTCCCCACAGCCCTGCCAGTATTTGTTGTTGGCTGATTTGTTGATAATAGCAATACTTTCTGGGGTGAAATGGAATCTAAGCATCGTTTTAATTTACATTTCTTGAATGACCAGAGATGTTGAACTTTTTAAATGTATTTATTTGCCATTTCTACTTCTTCATCTGAGAAGTGTGTATTTATCTTAGATGCCCATTTCTGAATTGGGTCTTTAAATTTGAGGGGTTTGATTTTTTTTGTTTCTTTATATGGTCTAGATGTTAGTTCTTTATCTGGTGAACCACTACCTAAAATTTTTTCCCACTCTGTAGTTTCTTTTCATTCTGTTGGAGACTTCTTTTGCTCTGCAAATCTTTTTAATAAGATGAGATTCCAGGTGTTGATTCTTTGAAGTAGTTCCCATATGGTCTGGGTATTTTATGAAGTATTTACTTACACCTATGTCCTCAAGTGTTCTACCTATTCTCTCTTTCAGAAGATTTAGTGTTTCTGTTTTAATATTTAGATATTTGATCTATTTTTATTTTAGTTTAGTATATAGTAAGAGACATGGGTCTAGTGTTAGCCTTTGGCATGTAGAAAGCCAGTTTTTCCAGTAATATTTTATTTATTTATTTATTTTTTAAATTCAAAACAACCATTTACTTAACTGGGAGTGGTCAGAGCAGGAAAGGCAGTAATGCACTATTTTTGAAATGCATATGGTCTTCTACCCGTGTGCTCCACTACATCAAAAGAATGAAGTGGGCTGAACATTTCATTTAAAATAATTCAGCATTAACAGTTTTTACAGAAACAAATACCGTAGAACCAAATCAAACTGCCTTAATAAATTACAATCATGATAATGAAAACTGCTTCTTGGAGGGTTATGGCCAAAATCCATACTGTAGGACAATCTTCCGAAAAACTGGAATGTAGAATGTTGGGCTCAAATTAGATATCATCAATGTCTTCATCATCATCCCCGATGTCATCAAACTGAATTTCATCATTATCTCCAGGACCAAATGTATCAGTTTCATTGATCTTAGCATGCTCAGGAAGCTCGCCATATGCTTTTAGACTTCTTGCTTCATCTGCATTGTATTTTAGAATCACATCAGCTTTGTTATCCTGGTAGTCTCGGAGACCAACCAATATGATGTCTGAGGTATTTATCCAAACCTTTTTTCTCAATTTCCCTCTGATGTGACATAATCTCTTCACACCATCAAAACACATTGCTTCTAATCGTCCATTTCCCAACATCTTGATTACCTGGGCATATTCTTGCCCATCCTCTTTGAACTCCAGTTCTCTTTTTTTCAGATTCATTCTCATTCTTGCCTCTGCGTCTATTTTTACCTCCTTTACCTTTATTCTTGGGCGTGGCGGGGTTACGAGGGCCGCGCGGCTTCTCTGACTTCTTCCTGGGTGGCTCAGGCGTCCGCAACTCCTCCGAGAGGCGCGACAGGGGCCTTATTGTTAGAGCGGAGGGAGACGCTTTCTGGGAGAATTGGCGGCAGCCAAAGAGAACGCAGGCGGAACGGACATCGTAGTAAGGAGCGCGCTGAAGTATCGCCGCGGCTGCGGCCTTGCCCTCTCTTGCTTTGTAACCTGCTTTTCTTGGTTTGACAAGTTGCTGACTCATTAACCTCGTAGTTATCTCAGTTTTAATGTGGCTCTTTGACCCGGCAAGCCAGTCTGGGAACCTTACCGCAAACTTTACCAGGCAGAGACCACATCTTATTACCGGCATTTAACAGAATGTCTGGCACATGGTCGGTGCTCGCTACCCATAGGCAAAAAGAAAAGAAAGAAGACTTAAATTCAGTGTTAGGGGCTGAAATGTGCCCTTCCAAAATGAATATATTGAAGTTCTAACCCTCAGTACCTCCTCCAGCAATATTTTAAAAAGAGGCTATCTTTCTTCCAGTGAAAGTATTTGGACCCTTTGTCAAAAATAAGATTGCTGAGTGTTTTTAGGGTTGTTTCTGCATCTTCCAACAGCCAACATCATACTAAATAGACAAAAACTGAAAGCTTTCACTTGAAAATCTGGGACAAGTCAAGAATATCCACTGTCACCCACTCCTATTCAACATAGTTCTGGAATCATTAGCCAGAGCAATCAGAGAAAAAATAAATAAAAGAAATAAGGATAGGAAAGGAAGAAGTTAAATTATCATTATTTCAGAGGACATGATATTCTAAATAGAGTACCCCCAAAACTCCACCAAAAGACTTCTAGATTTAATAAATAAATTCAGTAGAATAGCTGGATACAAAGTGAATACACAAAAATTAATAGCATCCCTGTACACAAATAACAAACTCACCAAGAGAGAAATTAGGGAAACAACATCTTTCATAATAGCATCCCCCCCAAATGAAATACTTAGGAACTAATCTCACAAAGAAAGTAAAAGACTTTTATATTGAAAATTATAGTACTTTGAAAAAGGAAATCAAAGAAGTTATCAGAAAATGGAAAGCTATCCCTTGCTCGTGGGTAGGAAACACCAACATAGTGAAAATAGTCACACTCCCCAAGTTGTTATACAGATTTAATGCAATCCCAATCAAAATACCAGCAGCATACCTTACAGAACTAGAGAAATCAGTCCTAAAATTCATTTGGAATCAGAAGAGTCAGAGAATAGCAAAAACAATTCTGGGCAACAAATGCAAGGCAAAGAACAACACAATCCCTGACTTGAAATTATATTATTATTTTTAGATTAGAAAAAAATCAAATCAATAAGGTAGAAGACAAACTGACTTCTACCAGCAAGCATATCAATGCTTAAACTTTTTAAACTTAATCTTTTTGTGGTTCATTCATCTACAATTGTAATCATCTTCAACATTTTAGAGAGATTTTTTGAGAAACAGAATTTCAGAGTAGAGGCCTCATTCTTTGCTCCACCTTACCAATAATGTTTCTCCCAGACCATGACCATATAATCCTGCAACATGCTACTGATTCCTATAAGCACATTACAACTCCTATGAAGCAGTAAGCTGCAAAAACAGAGCTATGCAACCCAGAAGAGTAAAGGAATTTAAGAGTGAAATGAACATGGAAAATAGAAGGAACCAGTAAATTAAAATCATCTTTTTTCTCTTCAATGAGCTATTTTAGTCATGATTTTTCTGTATATCTTCTGTAGAGCTCTTTCAAGTGTTTGAGTGGTAGACTTTGTTTATGAGCAATCATTAGCTTAATAATACATCACTTTGCTGAAGGAGAAAGGCTATTAAACATGAGATAACACTAAAGTTAAGATTAGAGACACAGACCTCCCTGCAGGCCTCCCAGCTAGGGGCGCACCTGTGAGAAGTGCAGCCACGGGGGCACCTGCAACACCACAGTTCCCCAACCTCCCCTCCCCCATCTTCTGCCCTCCTGGTTGCACCTGTACATGGATCCAGAAAGCAGAGGCACAGGGGCTAATAAAGGCCATTGTCCTGAGCTCCAGAAGATAGAGCATAAGTGAACAACAAAAGGAAGGCCTCTCTCAGGGTCCTTGATGAAAATTGAAGCCCACTGGAAAAGTGAAGAGAGTCTGCAGTAAAGGCACACCAGACCAACATAGTTGGTAAGTTGGAGGGATCACCACCTCCCATCTGAACCTGGACTCTCTTCAGGGAAAGGGCAGCTGGAACCTGCAGTAGAACCCTACAGAGTTCAACGCTGCAGGAGGTCAGGGAGCTCAACTTGGGCTTTGCACCAGAAATCAGCCTGAACCTCAGGGGTCTGCTGCTGGCTCACTGAAACTAATTGACTTAGATCTGCATACCGCTGCCCACGTTGTCTATTGTAACAGCAGAGACATACACTAAAGGTGGCCTTTCATTTTTTTGTTTTTTTAAAATTATTTTTTCTCTTATTTTTAATTTTTAGTTGTTTTTTTCTATTCTTTTCAAGTTTTTTTCTTTCTTCTTCGTTTTTTTGTTTCTCTCTCTCACTCTCTCACTTTCCCACATTGTTCTTCATCTTCCTTTTTGTTCATGTTCCTCCTGTAATTCGGATTTCTTCTTTCTTTTTCTTTTCTTCTCTCGTTTTCCTTCTCCTGATTGTCATTAATTTCAAAGAAAAGTGAATACAGTTTCTAGCTTCCTTATTGCTGATAGGTTGTTCTGTATTTGGCACATATATATTTATGATTGTCATCTCTGCCTCTTGGATTGTTCCCTTCAAAAGGATGTAGTGACCATCTTTGTCTCTCTTAATTAGTTTTGGTTTGAAATCTACTTTGTATGCAAATAAGATTGCTACTCCTGCTTTTTTCTGGGTTCTTGTCACATGGAGAACTGTTTCTCATCCTTTTACTTTCTGTCTATGAGTTTCTTTTTGAATTAGATATGTTTCTTGTATACAGCATATTGTTGGATTTTGCTTCTTGATACATTCTGCCAGTCTGGTTTTTTTGATTGGTGAATTGAGGCCATTAACATTGATGGGTATAACTGATATGTATTGACCTATCATTGTCATGTTATTTTCCTGTTGTTGGCTCTTTTTAATTTTTTCTCCCTCTCCTTTTAATTTCTTGCCTTGCCTGAAGGATTTGCTCTGTTAGACTTCATGGAGTTGTGACTTTCATTTTCTTTTTCTAGGATATTGTTTAGAATTGTTTGGAGTGCTGGTTTCGTATTCATGAAGTTTCTTAGGTGTTCTTTGTCATGGAAGTATCTTATTTCCCCATCAATTTTGAAAGATAGTTTTGCAGCATACATCAGTCTAGGTTGGAAGTTATTTTCATTTAGGGCTTGAAATACCCTACCCCTGGCTCTCATTAATTTGAGTATTTGTGTTGAAAAGTCTGCTGTGATTCTGATGGGCTTTTCTTTGCATGTGATTTGTTTTTTTCTCTGCTTGTAGTATTTTGATCTTCTCTTGGGTTTCTGGGATCTTGATTATTATATGTCTAGGTGTAGATGTTTTTTAATCATGGCTAGTTGGAGTCCTATATGTCTCACTTATCTATATGTCAAATTCTTTGCTCTGGGAAGTTTTCTGTCTTTAATTCTGTGAACAGTTTTTTTTATGTCATTTATACATTCTCTTGATTTTTCATGGACTCCTATTATTCTTATATTATTCTTCTTTGTGCCATCTAGGAACTGTTGGATTGATTTCTCATGGTCCCGTACTAGTTTTAAGAGATCTGTCTTTTCATGGTCACTGACTGCCATTTTGTCTTCTACATCTGATATTCTGTCTTCATATTGGCTCAGTCTGCTAAATATACTTTCAATAGAGTTTTTAATGTCCTTGATATCTGTTTGAATCTGTTTCATGAATTCCATTTCTTTCCTATGTTGGGTGTTCATTATATCCATTTCTTTCTTATGCTGGGCATTCATGGCTTTCATCATGGTCCCGAACTCATTAATTTTTTTATCTGTTTGTATTCTAGAGTCTCTAATCATGTCTTTCATTCTGCTCACCATCTCTGTAGTCTTCTGGGAAATTATTTCTGTTTGGAATTTTTCTAGATCCTCATTCATCTTTTTTGTTACTTCCTGTGCTATCAGTTCAGGGTGTCCAGGTGGTTGATTATCAGACTTTTCCAACTTGTTTCCCCCAGAGTTTGTCTTTGGTGAGCTGGAAGTCTGGGTTTGTGCCTTACTTAAATATCTTCTCATTTCTATTTTTATTTTTGGTACTGTCCTTGGTTTAGTTCCTGGGTTGATATTTCGATATTGCTTATTGTAGGTATCTTTGTTGCTTGTATTCAGAACTCTTATGGAATGATTGCTTCTCAGAGGTGTCTTCCAGATATAGCAGGTCTTAAGGTTTTGAGTCTCAAATGACTCTGGGGCAATCTCATTTTCATTATACCAGAAGAATAACTGATTAGATCAATCAAAACACTTTAGGCCAAGTGATACAATCAAAATACTACAAAGCTATTATGATAAAAACAGCATGGTACTGGGAGAGAAACAGACCTGAGGATCAGTGGAATAGATTAGAAGATACAGAAACAACTCCAGACATACTCAGATACCTCATCTTTGACAAAGGAGCTAACCATCCTCACTGGAGTAAAGATAGCCTTTTTAATAAATGGTGTTGGAAAAACTGGATTTCAACTTGCCGAAGATTAAAACTAGACCCCTATCTTTCACCATGCATTAAACTAAGATCAAAGTGAATTAAAGATCTAAATATTAAAAGAGAAACTTTGAACCGGCTGGAACAGAGGTTAGGTAGACATTGGGTTAGGTCTCGAAGACATTGGTGTAGGAAAAGACTTTATGAACAAAACCTCAGTTGGCCATGAACTAGCACAAACAATCAACAAGTGGGATCTCTTCTTACCAAAAAGCTTCTGCACAGCAAGAGAAACCACCAGCAGTGTGAAGAGACAACCC